AGGTCAAAAATTAAATTTAAAAAAAATCAATAAATGATTATAAACGTTGCTTACGCATTTTCATACTTTGAAACTGTTGTGTAATTATATCATTATAAATATTTTAAAATATAATGTTCTCATGACATCCCCAATAGTGCACCAAATTGGCGTTTTGGTGTAAAAATCTAGTCCAATGATAATACTATTCTTTTGGTGTAATTTTTGACATTCCCGTTTTGCCCTTCATTTTATATTACAACAACTTGTAATTTCTTCTATATCATTTTCTATCCTTTTAGTATTTAATGATTTTACTTTATTAATATTTATTTTAACTTGATTATTTTTTAATTAACATTTTTATAAATTCTAATTAAATAAAAATAATAAGTATCAAATACATTAAATTAAAATTGGTCATTAAAACTCAAAACTTAGAATAGAAAAAGATCATTATTTGATAAAGGCTTTTAGGTATTGAAAGTAGAATGAGATTTCAAGCTTTAGAGAAGTTAGCCGCTCCATGGTGGTAAAGTCTCATATTGTGTGTNAGGTCAAAAATTAAATTTAAAAAAATTAATAAATGATTATAAACGTTGCTTACGCATTTTCATACTTTGAAACTGTTGTGTAATTATATCATTATAAATATTTTCAAATATAATGTTCTCATGACATCCCGAGTGGTGCACCAAATTGGCGTTTTGGTGTAAAAATCTACTCCAATGATAATACTGTTCTTTTGGTGTAATTTTTGACATTCCCGTTTTGCCCTTCATTTTATTTTACAACAACTTGTAATTTCTTCTATATCATTTTCTATCCTTTTAGTATTTAATGATTTTACTTTATTAATATTTATTTTAATTTGATTATTTTTTAATTAACATTTTTATAAATTCTAATTAAATAAAAATAATAAGTATCAAATACATTAAATTAAAATTGCTCATTAAAACTCAAAACTTAGAATAGAAAAAGATCATTATTTGATAAAGGTGTTTAGGTATTGAAAGTAGAATGAGATTTCAAGCTTTAGAGAAGTTAGCCGCTCCATGGTGGTAAAGTCTCATATTGTGTGTTGGCAGAAGTGACAATAGTCACATTGAACCCTCGAATATGTTTGAAGCTCTCAAAATGATCTTCTAGTTTTTGGGAGAATTCGCAAAACTCCGCTTCCNCGAAGCTCTCGAAATGATCTTCCAGTTTTGAAGAGAATTCGCAAAACTCCATTTCCATCGAGAATTGAATGGAGTTTTCCCGTATTTAGACCGAAAAATCTTATAGAGACATTACTGTGGAGATTCCAACCAAAAAATTGGACATTCCATGCCTTCAAAGAGTGCTTAAGAGGCAGAAAGTGAAAGGAAAAAAAAAAAAAAGATGAAAACAAGAAATCAAAAATTTCCGTGTAATCAACTGCTACATGTAAATCCACGGATTAATTCCCTAAATGATCACTTAACTTTTCTTAAAGTTCCCACGAGGTCATTAAATTTAAAAAAATTCCCCATTAGTTACTTAATTTTGAAAATTGGTACTCTATCAATCACTGCGTAAATGACACATGCAAAACTGGAAGGATTTGATTACATTGAGCATGAGTGTACATGTATGTGAGTGTTTTTTTTATTCACAAATCGTCCAATGCATATTTGAGTTTTTTTTAAATGATCGTTGAATGCATGATTTTATCTAAATATAGGACTCTTCAAAATCTGAATTTTATAAACTTTATTAGCTGTATTATTATAGTTTCTAACTAATTAGTATGATTTATATAAA